TCAATTGGATGAAAGGTATCCTGTTTTAGTCATCAGTCAGTCATCAGGGGTAATGGGTTTGTCTTCATCTTTTTTTTTTCTAGTACACTTCAGTTTTTTTAGGGAAGTTTTAAGTTTATAGGAAAATTGATCAGAAAGTATAGAGAAATGTATCAGAAAGTATACATAACCCCTCTGCATCCACACTTTGCACTATATTGCTTTTTATTTCTTATTTGACCATGGTACATTTGTTAAACTTGCTCAGCAAATAGTGAGCATTGTTTGTTATCATAAATGGATGTTGGTTGGTGTCAAATCCTTTCTCATGTTTATTTCTCCTTCCTTTTATTTCTGAGTTAGTAATTTCTGTTTTCCTTCTTCATTGTCTTGACTGGCTGTTTATCATTTTACTAAATTAATATTTTCAAAGGATTACCTTTGGGATTTGAAAACTAGAAGAGTGTTTTTTTTCTTTCAAAACTTGAAATACAAGGATACCTCAAATTGGGGGTTCTGTTCAGGACCACTGCAATAAAGTAAGTCACACTCATTATTTGGTTTCCCAGTGCATATTAAAAAAAAACTATATCATAGCTTATTAAGTATGCAGTAGCATTATGTCTAAAAATCAATTTATATAGCTTTATTGCTAAAAAATGTTAACCATCATCTGACAATGTAGAGTTTCCACAAACTACAGTGAAACACAATAAAATGAAGTATGCCTGTATAGCATTTCAGTCCACTCTCTTCTTCCTTGTATGGTTTCTGAAAACATGTCTGATTTAATTCAAATCTTTTTTTCTCTGTGCAAATCAAAACTGCAGTTAGGTACCACCTCACACCAGTCAGAATGACCATCATTAAAGAAACTACAAATAAAAAGTGCTAGAGAGGATATGGAGAACTGGGAACCTTCCTGCGCTGTTGCTAGGAATGTAAATTGGTGCAGCCTCTATGGAAAACAGTATGGAGGCACAAATGTATACACACACACAATGCAATACTATTCAGTCATAAAGAAAGAATAAATAATGCCATTTGCAGCAACATGGATGGACCTAGAGGTTATCATACTGAGTAAAGTAAGTCAGAAAGAAAAAGACAAATATCATATGATATTACTTACATGTGGAATCTAAAATATGACACAAATGAACTTATCTATGAAACAGAAACAGACTCATGGATACAGAGAACAGACTGTGATTGCCAAGGCGAAGAGAGAGTGGAGACAGATGAATTGGGAGTTAGGGATTAGCAGATGCAAGCTATTAAATATAGAATGGGCAAACAGCAAGATCCTACTCTATAGCATAATGAACTGTATTCAGTAATCAACCATTGTGGCTCAGCTGGTAAAGAGTCCGCCTGCAATGTGGGAGACCTGGGTTTGGTCCCTGGGTTGGGAAGATCCCCTGGGGAAGGGAAAGGCTACCCACTCCAGTATTCTGGCCTGGAGAATTCCATGGACTGTATAGTCCATGGGGTTGCAAAAAGTCGGACCCAACTGAGCAACTTTCACTTTCCAATCAACCAGAATGGAAAGGAATATGGAAAGAAATGTATATGTATAACTGACTCACTTTGCTATACAGCAGAAATTAACACAGTGTTGTAAATCAACTATATTTAAGTTTTTAAAAGTCTGTGTAAACTAAGGTGTTTCTTCTACATCTTTTCAATATATTCTTTCTTCTGTGTCAATATGAAATATGTGGGTGTGCATTTTCTTTTTTTATAATTTTCTTTTTATTCATTTGGTTTTGGCTGTGCTGGGTCTTTGTTGCTGTGCAGGCTTTCTCTAGTGGTGGCAAGCGGGGGTTCCTCTCGTCGCAGAGCACAGAGTCCAGGGTGCCCGGACTTGAGTAACTGTGGCTTGTGGGCTCAGGAGTTGCAGTTCTTGCGCTCTGGTACACAGGTTCAATAGTGTCTCCCGTACTGGCAGCCAGACTCTGTTTTATAGAGTGTTTTCTGAACTTGCTGCATTTGTGGTTTGCCATCAATGACTTTTTTAAAATATTTGTTTGGTTTTGGCTCCATTGCGTCTTAGTTGGGATCCATTGCTTCAGCACACAAATTCTCCAGGTGTGGCACACAGGCTAATTGTGGCCTTCAGGCTACATAATGGGCAGGCTTCAGTAGTTGTGGCAAGTGGGCCCTCCAACTCCTGTGCATGGCTTAGCTGCCCTGAAGCATGTAGGATCCTAGTTCCCGACCAGGGATCCAGCTCTTGAACCCCTGCATTGCAAAGTGGATTCCCAACCCCTGGACCACCAAGGAAGTCCCCAGGCCTTGTATCTTTATTTTCTCTTTCTCAATTTTGAAAACAGTGGTTTTCCTGTGACTTCAATGCTCTGATGGATCTAAGAAGAGTTATTGATTTCAAACGTTTTCACGTTTTTTCTATGAAGTTGGGAATGGCATCCAAGTTCTTTAAAATATTTATCTATTTATTTAGGTCACCTCAGATCTTAGTCATGGCACACAGAATCTTTGTTGTGTCGGGCAGGATCTTTTGTTGACTGCAGTACTTCGACTCTGGTTACGGCACCTGGGCTCAGTAGCTGTAGCACACAGGCCTGGTTGCTCTAAGACATGTGGGGCCTTAGACACTGACCGGTGATCCAAGCTGCGTCCCCTGGACTGCACGGCGGAGAGCTCCTAACCACTGGGCCGCCAGGGAAGTCCCCCAAGTCCCTTAAATACCAGGCCCAAAACCAGAGTTCTCTGACTCCCATTTTTGATGGTTGACTGCTGTTAACTTTAAAGTCTCACTCCCCCCACTCATTTCTCTCTTTTCCCCCATAGGTTTAATGGGTTTTATAAGTTTACCCCTTCAGTTCCTCTTTGCAGCACCCAGTATTCCTTTGAAACACCAGACAGACTCAGCAGTGGCCAACAGTCAAGTTTAGACCTCCAGAGTTTAAAAGTTCAAGTTCTAAAAGTAAATAAATAAAAGTTAAGGCTCTCTGAGCATTCCATGTTACAGTGGCACTTATCCAAAATTGGTACCTCCCTATTGTTGGGGGAACTTTTAAATGTACCAGTGGAAAAAGCTTTTTCCTCTTTATGAGGAAGAAAGAAAATCATTCCTCAAACCAGGCAGATCTGGCTGTGAGGTCTTTCCTCCTGTCGCATCTCTTGTGGGTTTGTGTGTGTGTGTGTGTGTGTGTGTGTGTGTGTGTGTTTTACAGTGGAGCAAGGGACCAAAATCTCACTTTAGTTACAAGAAACAAGACAGTGATGGCTGGCTATAAAGGGAGTGACCAGAACAGTGGTCACTTTACCTCCCACATCTAATATTTGTGCTTCACAGAAAAACAAAATTAACAGGTTCACAAAATACAACAGCTAGAATTACAAAACTCCGTTCATACAAGGGCAGTGGAGGGCAGGAAGTGGAAGTGGGAGGGGAAATGGCACAGGAAGAAACAGTATTCAAATCAGTCAAGGCTCGGGGCTGGCAAATGCTAGGGAAAAAAGCTGCAGAAAAACCTGTGGTCCTTTCAGACTCACCAGTGTTTAAAATCCACACTGGTGTCAGGAAGATTCTGCCTTACGTGCACCGGAGAAAAACTCTGGATTCCTCAGAGAGAAGGTAATGTATGCAGGGCCCTTCCCCTCATTTCTCTTTGACCCACACCTCTACATAGTGATAAGAGTGCCTTGGTGCTCCTTTCTATTGGCAGTAACAAGACATTAAGCCCTCATAAGATCCTGTTCCTGTGTGTGAACCCAAACCTACCCCCTAATTTTTAAAAGAAGTCCAGGCTCCTTTCTCTCTTAAGGCATTTCCTGACTGCTGGAAAAGTAGGCCTTACTTTTCCCGGAGACCTCAATTATGGGAAGTAAACCCTTTCATACACTGTTGGCACTGTGTGCTGTCATCAGCGAAGGGATTCATGTGTTCAGTGGTCAAGCCATCATACTTCTGTAGATCAGATAGGAGTGTTTGAGAATTAGAGAACTTGAGAGAACAGCCTCTAGAATGGCTGGTTTTGAAACCACTTCTTGCAGTTTGAAAACAGATTTTAGGGTTGTTTGGAGGAAAGCACTGCTGAATCCTTCATTGTATTTTAAGGTCAAATTGCCATGAATCCATTGTGATTTTCAATGAACACACTTGCATTCTGCAGCTCTTAACCTGTTACTCAAGGTCAGCAAAGCACAGGGCACAGTGTTCTGGTTCTGCCATAAAGAGTGCTTCTGGCATATTATCCCGCTGTGTGTGACTTTGTGTTCTTCTGAGCAGCCCCAAGGTGCATGAGTATAGGGAATTTGTGGTCTAAGTTGTGACATCTTCTTCCTAGTATCTGACTTCTAAATACCAAATAACTTTCGAGTCCATAAAATCAGAGAGAGAAAGGGAGAGCTGAGCCTGTGGTAAATATTACACAAGTTAAAAGCAATACATCCTGGTAGTCAGGATATTTTCATTCCACCAGCTGTATCACTATACTACTTCTAAAAACCTGGAACTTCAGGACTAAATAGCCAGTTGGATCTTATTAAAAGCTGGATTTCTACTTGTCCTAGACACTCATGTTTGGTGATAGGCATAGAAGTAAAAGTTTCTAGTTCTTCACTATGTTTTTACTTAGTAAAGTTTTATGCAAATTTCACCCTCTGCCTCATAGAGTGCTGTTAATAGTGGGTAATAAGGGAGAGGGAAGTTTTCCTCACAAGGAATCCATGATCTTAAAATGATAATATTTGTTTCATGTGTGTAGCATTTCTGTCATTTCCCAACATGCTTGTACCCTGCGATGAGACAGAAATAATATCTGATGAGATCACGATAAACTGTGTAAATAATTTGCATGTTTTCATGATGCTGTTAAACTTATGAGGAAGTAAGTGTGGACAGAGAGTACGTTTCTCATAATCAAGCCAGAGAATAAATGTTTGGAGGTGACAGGCTCATACATAAAATGAGTCTTCATATAAATGGTGTATAGATGTCCAGGGCTGTTAGTCTCACACATCCTCCTATGCACACATTTGGGATGCTTTAGGATTCAGTGACCTTTGAGGATGTGGCTGTGAACTTCACCCTGGAAGAGTGGGCTTTCCTGGATCCTTCACAGAAGAAGCTCTATAGAGATGTGATGCGGGAAACCTTGAGGAACCTGATCTCAATAGGTGAGGATGACAATTTGCCTTTACTTTGTTAATTAGTAACAACAAGTGTTTCTTACTCATTGTTCCAAGATATTAAATGTGGGAATGCAGAGTATGTTAAATAAAACTAGGCAAGGTCACAGCCAACAATGGATATAGAATCTAGTCATTTTTCTATAACTAATAATATTTTGGAATCATTTTCCTTGATCTGCAATTTAGGAGAAAAATGGGAAGATCATGACATTGAAGATCAGTACAAAAATCAGGGGAGAAAATTAAGGTAAGTCATACCCACAATATAATATAGTAACTCATGTGAGTATTCTGTTATGTTATGAAATTTTAAAAGGATGAAATAACTAGTGCACCAAATTTAGTTATTCTTGGAAAATTTTCACCAAAATTACTTATGTGACATAGATGTTCAGTGTTTACAAAATAGTTCAACACTTTAAATAAATTCTCTATATGAATTGTCACTGCTTTGATGATTGCAAGAGCATTTCTTATATTAAACTTGAAACCATTCAGACAAGGCATAAAACCTACACTATTGCTATAAGTGATAAAAAATGTACTTCAAATGTCCTACTAAGTATAAAATTGTTAATAAAGAACTCATTAATAATGTACTCCTTGTTTGTTTGTTTGTTTCCCACAGAAGTCATGTAGTTGAAAGACTCTGTGAAAGTAAAGAGGGTAGTCAGTGTGGAGAAAACTTCAGCATTATTCCAAACCTCAATCTGAGCAAGAAAACTAATAGGATGAAACCACGTGAATGCAGTGTATGTGGAAAAGTGTTTACACGTCATTCATCCCTTAAGAGACATATGAGATATCACACTGAACGTAAACCACCTGAGTATCAGAAATATGGAGAGAAGCCATATAGATGTAAGGAATGTGGTAAAGCCTTTGGCTATCTCCAATTTTTGGAGACCCATGAGAAAAATCACAATCGAGAGAAAAAACATAAATGTGAGGAATGTGGGAAAGCATTCCATTCCCGTGCATCCTTTCAAGCACATGAAAGAATCCACACAGGAGAAAAACCCTATGAATGTAAGGAATGTGGGGAGGCCTTCATGTGGAGCACAGGGTTTCGAAGACACATGGTAACACACACTGGAAATGCTTCATATACATGTAAGGAATGTGGGAAAGCTTTTAATTGTTCCTATTCATTGCGAACACATGAAACAACCCACAGTGGAAAGAAACCCTATCAGTGTAAGCAATGTGGAAAATTCCTTAGATACTATCATACTTTTAGAACACATCAAAGGACTCACACAGGTGAGAAACCCTATGAATGTAAGCAGTGTGGTAAAGCCTTCAGTTGTCCTAGTTCTTTTCGGAAACATGAAAGAATTCATACTGGGGAAAAGCCTTATGAATGTAAGGAGTGTGGGAGAACCTTCAGAGGTCTCTCAAGCCTTCGAGCACACATGATCACTCACACTGGCGATGGACCTTATAAATGTCAGGAATGTGAGAGAGCCTTCATTTCTCCTAGTTCCTTTCGAATACATCAAAGGATTCACACTGGAGAGAAACCCTATGAATGTGAACAATGTGGTAAAGCTTTCAATTACTACAATTCCTTACAGTCACACAGAAGAACTCATACTGGAGAGAAGCCCTATGAATGCAAGGAATGTGGGAAAACCCTGTCCCATCAGCAAACCTTAAAAATACACATGCGGCTGCACACTGGAGAGAAACCCTATGAATGTAAACAATGTGGTAAAGCTTTCAGATATTACCCTTCCTTTCACAAACACAAACAAATTCATACTGGAGGGAAACCCTTCGAATGCAAACAATGTGGTAAAGCCTTCAGTCATTACAATTCCTTACAGTCACATGGAAGAACTCACACTGGAGAGAAACCCTACGAATGCAAGGAATGTGGGAAAGCCCTCTCCCATCACCAAACCTTGAGAGTACACATGAGACTGCACACTGGAGAGAAACCCTATGAATGCTCACAGTGCAGTAGAGCTTTCAGATATTACACTTCCTTCCAAAAGCACAAACGAATTCACACTGAGAAGAAATTTTATGAATAAGGAATATAGAGAAGCCTTTAGTCAACCAACTTCACTTTGAAAATGTTAAATAAGCCACACTGGAGAGAAAACCTATCAGTGTAAACAAGGTGGGAAAACCTTAAGATATTTTCAAAGTTTGCAAACACATGAAAGGGTTCCCATAGAATAGAAACCTTGTAAACCATGTGGGAAGTCCTGCAAAAATTATACCTCCTTAGAAATGCATGAAAGAATTCATACTGAAAAGAAACCCTGTGACTGTAAGGGATATGGAAAAGCCTTCAGATGTTACCAGAGGTTTTTATTTCTTTTTGATGACTTGAAAAAGATCAGAGTGGAGGGAGTATGGTAAAGCCTTCATTTGTCACAAACCATTTGAAGAGAGTGCACACTGGAGAGATACTGTATAATGTAAAAAAATGTCAGAAAACTTTCAGTCATTCCAATTCCAAAAGAATGAAAGGACTCACTGGACAAAAACTCCTGAGTTAAACAGTTTTGGAAAGATTTCAATGAGCCCACATCTTTACATGTGAAAACTCACATTGGAAAGAAATATAAGTAATATGAGAAAGCTTGATGAAAATTAATCTATGTGTAACAGGAAAAAGTTATTAAAGTTGGAAATACTTTGTGTTTATCAATCCTCTTTCTTAAAGTGCACTATTGGACAGTGGATTTCTAGTAATTACTCTCAGAAATGAATATGAGGGGAGATGACTCTGTGAGTCATGTTTCCACAGTGGTACATAAAATTAATAGATAGAGCTTTTTCTTTAAATCAGTTTTATTTTCTCTTTTCTTTTTGAAGCCAGTTGGATCATAGGTGAATCAGAGTAAATGCCTAATAATTCAATTAGGTAAAAATTGTTTTATAATGTTTGATTTGCTCTGTGTTAAGGGCCCACTGAGAAATGACAGTTTGGTATTTGGATTTTCCTAACAGCCTTACGGCAGTTCTCGGATATCTCTAGTCCAATATATATATTTATCTTTCTTACCAAGCTCTTTTGTTGGAGTGAAGAGTATAAGAACCTTTTAACATTTTCTATGCTAATAAACTGTTCAATAAATATTTGTGTACACCTCACTTATAAATGAATATAGTTTCTATGTGAATAATTATTTTCATATTTATATCTTGCTTTGAATCTTTCCTTCTGACTATAATTTGGTGAATAGACTTGGAATTAAGAAGAGTGGCTAGGAACTTCCCTGGTGGTCCAGTGGTTAAGAATCTTCCTTGCAATGCAGGGGACCTGGGTTTGGTCCCTGCGCAGGGAACTAAGAACCCACATGCCGCAGAGCAACTGAGCCTGTGTGCCTCAGTGAAAGATCCCACATAATGCAATGAAGATCCCCTATGCTCCAACTAAGACCCAGTGCAGCCAAGTAAATAAATTAAAAAGAAGAGAGGCTTATGGTGGGCAACAAAATCTAAAGCTAGAGCTATCCTCTCTGTAGGTAATGTTAGGAATTAGATTTTCCAGAACTCATCCTCTTTATGGTTCCCTGTTAGAGTCCACCAATAGTGTGACTTGCCAGAGATTTGGAAAGCAGGAATAAGGAAGGTATTAGTCATTTCACAGTTACCATATTTAAAGAGAGCCAAATGCATAGGAGCTTCAAATATACTATCTTCCAGCCCATTTTCTACATTTTTTCCTTCCAGTCAAGTATCCTCAAAACCACCACTAACTGTTCGACATCCATTTTCTGAGATATGTACATGCTGCAACTAAGACCTGATGCAGCCAAATAAATATTTAAATAAAACTTTTTTTAAAAGAAAAAATACTAGAGCTATTTGTGTCCCCTTTCAAAGTGTTGCGTAAATAAGTAAGCAGGTGTATCTGATAATATGCAGTGCCTGTGGTCTCTGTGGTCAATGGGATATGCCCATGACGTGGGTTCTGATGAATGTTTCTGTCACTCTGCCCCTGCTGTTAGGTCAGTTTTTCAGAGTGGAATAGGCTTTGGTTTCTAAAGATGTTTTGAAGTAAGCAGGCCTAAGTAGGCCTGATTTGGGAAACGATGACTTGGAAATGGTTTGTGGATGGCCATGGAGGGAACCGATGGTGATGCACTTGAATGAGGATGTCCCCAGCAAATTCCACTTGAGATACACCTTTAGGTTTCAGAACCACAGTATTTCCAAAGATCTGTCCGAGGAAGCTGACTTAGACTCAAAGACAGACCTGGGAGCCCTCTCACTTCACTCCTAGTTATGTGATGAAACGAGGAGAGGTGCAGCCCTAGTGGGTGTTCAGACAGGGTTGCAAAAAAGGCCTGTTGTGACCCATGTCCTTCTGCCCCAGTCCTTCCGTTCTTCCTACAAAGAATCTCAGAGTGGTGGGGAAAAAAGTTGAACACTTGAAGTTCAGGAGAGTTTAATATTCTCCTAGCATACAAAGGCATTTGTGTCATTTTCTTTCTTCTTATCTACCTATCTATATATAAGTATAAAAGCTTTATATATATTTATAAAAGTTCATAAAAACTCAGAGCTATTACTTTTGTCTCCTACTCTCACACAGCAGATGCTGGAGGTCTAAGCATATGGAAATGAAACCTCGAATAGTAAAACAGGCCAATGAATCACTGATGCACAAGACTTCCAACCACTCCTGCAATAAAAAGACACAAAAGTTCTCATTTCTCCTTTTATACTAAATTAGGATATTACCCAAAGTAATACCCTCTCTCTACAGCTCACCTCAGTTATTCCTTGTATGATTGCCTCTAAACATCCACTTTTTTTTTTTCATGTTTCCACTGGGAAATCACAACAGACTTGAGTAGTCATCACTCTATTCATACAATAAACTCAGGATGGGTTTGAACAGTGCAGATGAATGTATTTCCCTAAATAGGAGGAACTCCATGCTTTAATAAGGTAAACATTGTTAATTGGTGTGTTAAGCAGCAACATGAAAGCACCAAATGCTGTAACAATTCTTAAAAGTTAAAGGTAAATTAAAATCCCCTCGAATGAGGTGGTTAAAAATAAAACCACCACAAACAACATGGCCCAAATCACTAGGAAGTTCTGAGAGCCAATGTCCAAACTCATGAGCACACATTCTGTATACAAAATGTTTAACAATTGCAAAAATGAAGAGGAACCATGTCTGTATCTTTCTCTTTACAGGGAATCTTTACTGTTAATTACAAGAATGCAGAATTTCTATATTGATGCAACCTGTTTACTGACACAGCTTCCCAGGTGGCTCAGTGGTAAAGAATCTGCCTGCCAATTAGGAGATGCAGATTGGATCCCTGGGTCAGGACGGTCCCCTGGGGAAGGAGATTCAATCCACTCCAGTATTCTTGCCTGAAAAATCCCTTGGACAGAGGGGCCTGGTGGCCTACAGTCCCTGGGGTTGCAAGAGTTGGACATGACTTGGTGACTAAACAATTACTTACACAGCCAAGGAGTTCCTGAAGAAGTATTAAAGATGTATTATGTCATAGAAACTCAGTGATCAATAATGACATCACCATTCACTGAGGTGCCTACCCTCAGTGAAAAGATATATATACACCCCAGTTTCCCTATTATCTCACATTATTTTACATTTCATCAAAGCCTTCATTTCCTAACCATGTCTCTTTTCCCACAAAAATATTATTGGGGCTGCAAGAAGTTGTCTCATGCTGCTGTATTGAAGTCCTGCAATGCCTTATTACTTGTGCTAATAGGGCACCTTGGCTCTAAAGTGCACAGCAATATGTGTGTGTGTGCTTAGTCGCTCAGTCATGTCCGACTCTTCGCGACCCCATGGACTGTAGCCTACCAGGCTCCTCTGTCCGTGGGGATTCTCCAGGCAGGAATACTGGAGTGTGTTGCATGCCCTCCTCCAGGGAATCTTCCCAACCCAGGGATCAAAGCCAGGTCTCCCACACTGCAGGTGGATTCTTTACCATCTGAGACACCAGGGAAGCTGAGGGATGTTGAAACATTAGCATCAAGAGTATGGTCTCTTGACTGGAACAGTGTCCTGTCTTTCTGTCTTGCTAGGTCTGTGTTCTCTCATAACTTATTGAAACTTTGCCAAAATAAATGAAGCAAAAGAGAAATGAAGGGAAAAACAAGTAACAGTAATTGGAGACTCCAGCATCTCACTTCAATGTTATGTACACAAGTAGGCAAAATATCGACATGAAAATAAAAGACGTGTGAAACACTATAAGTACATCTAATGTGATTACAGAACACTGCCCCATGTGTCAAAGAAATCCATAGAGAAGTGCTAAAAGATCTCAAATCAATAATCTTACCTTGTACCTTTTCACACTTGAAAGAATGGGCAACCAACACCACCACTCCAAAGGAGATGAAGGAAATAAAAAAAGAGCAGAAAATAGAGAATAGAAACAGCATACAGAAAATCGAGAAAATCAAAAGTGGGTTGTTTGAAAAAAATAAAATTGACAAACCTTTAGCTAGACTGACAGAAAGTGAGAAGAAGAAAATTCCTAAAATCAGACACAGAGACTATTTCACCAACCTTACAGCAATAAAAAGGATTATAAAGAAATTTAGGGGAATTCCAGTGGTTAGGACTCTGTACTTCCACTGCAGGGGTCAGGGGCTTGATCCCTGGTCAGGGAACAAAGATCTCAAATGTCTTTGCATTGCGGCCAATAAAACAAAAACATTATAAAGGAATTCAGTAAACAACAGTATCAACAACAAATTAGATAACTTAGATGAAATGGACAAATCTCTAAAAAATAATACATTTTACAGAAAATAAGGGGGGGAAAAAGGGATTTTCTTATTGTAAGTGTAACAAGTGACCTGGTTGAATTACTAACAAAAAAACTACTCAAAAAGAAAACCCAGACCTAAATGGCTTTACCATAGAATTCCCCAAAACATTCAAAGTTTTAATGATTTTTCAGAAACCCTCCCCCCAAGTAGAATCAACACAACACTTC